CTATATGTTGATATGCTTAATGAAGAAGGGCCGAAATGTGTATGATTTCATGGCAAGATAATGAAGTGTTTATGGCAAGAAGGTATTTAAAAGTGAAATTTAGTGTATTAAAGTGCTTAGGAGAGTTAGTCACTATTTTCTCAAATATATTTTACCCGTCCTTTAGGCTACATTACAACCTATAAAGTCCTACTTGATCCTGGACTTTGCAAGCTTAAATTAGCAGAGACTTACACTATAGGCAAGCCTATGATACGAACTTGGGTGACATAAGAGTTTCTCTGTGAGAGTAAGCGAGTTCTTTTTATATTTGAGTTCTTAAACTACACTTGAATGTATATTGAGTGTGTGAACTACTTTCTCTCTATGGTTGTTGGTGAGGGCACTGGTGTCGCCCAAACTCACACCACAAATATAGGTAGTGAGGCGGTTGAAATAATAATAAAATCCAACGCGAGTCGGGGTTGAATTCTCAGGGAGTTAGAAATGCGATTAGGTATACACCTAGTGTAATTGTATAATGTGCCTCAAATTGCACTTCCACATTCTTGTTTGTTGTTTCTATTTCCACTTTAAGTTATTGATTGCAAATAATAAACTAGAAGACAATGTTTTTGGTTTTGGTTGATTTTCAAATGATAAAGGATTTAGGCTCGTGACTTCCACCTAGGCGGTTACCTAATGGGTTGTAAACTCTAGTTAAAGTTTGATTAGTCGGGGTAGTAATATAGCAATCACACGCAATTACTCACTCTATACCTCTCGGTAGTTTGAGTGATTTTGCCCAATCTGGCTTTCTCAAGTCCAAATAGATATTGCACAAATCAAGTGATATATGCTCAAGTCGGGTCTTACTATCTATAGATTAATTAGGGCTATCAATTTCTTGAGTTCACCCCAATTTTTTGTTAGCCAAGTTTTTCTAGACTTAGTCTCTCTTTCTCAAGTAGAGTCTAAGTCAAATAGGCATGAATCAATGTTTGCAACCATTAATTCTTGAATACAAGAATAAACAAGGCTAAATATCACTAACCCAATCACAAACAAGCCCTAAATCAAACACCCATTAAGTATCCACACTAGGGTTGGGCCACAACCCTAGCTAGAAATTTAGCTACTCATGAAAAATGAAGAAATACAGCAAGAAATTAAGATAGAATGCATAATAATTGATTAGAGAAAGAAAATCTAATATTTAGAAGTTAATCTAGTACAAAATTACTCAAAACAGTAAAGAAAATGGCTCAGATGCTCTCCCAATACAAAACTTAACCTAAAAATGACAAAAAGTTCTATTTATACTACGTTGAAAATCTCTAACAAAACTGCCCCTGCGAAGGTTGTGCGGCCGCATAATTTTGAGTGTGGTCCGCACGATGAGCTTCTGCGGCCGCACAATTATAGTGCGGTCAGCATTCCTGGAACTTGGGCTTGACACTTTGGGACTTCTATGGTCCACATAAAATGAGTGCGGCCGCAATTCAGATTGTGCGGCCACACAAAAATGATGTGGTCCGCACTCCTTGACTTTGGACTTGAATCCAGCTCTCTGATTCTTCACTTCTGTGGACCGCATAATAATGAGAGCGATCGCACTTGACATCCCGCAGCTGCACAATTTTGGTGCGGTCCGCATGACTTTAGATGGCCCAAAAACTACTCTCTAAATCTCCTCTGCTACAGCCGCACTAGAATTGTGCGGTCCGCACTGCTGGCCTTTTTGTCCTGTTTTGGTTCTTTTTCACTTTTGACTCCTTTATGAGTTAATTTTGGCTTTTTTGGCTCATTTTTCAATATTTCTGCAAGCAAGTACATTTCATTAGTTTTCAGAAATATCTTTAAGCATTTTTGAGCTAAAACATAAGTAAAAGAGAGCAAATAAGCGGTCAAAATCCCTAATTATGAGGCACATGATTTGCAAAGGATTGGTAGAGACTATGATTTTTGAGTTGGCACAAAGAGCAAGTCATAATATGGAATGTATTAGAGTCAAGCTTTGAGGCGAGGATGTTAGAAAGAGTCACATGAATATTTTAAATGATCTTGGCATGAGTGTAAAACTTGAGAGACAGTATGAAGAGTGCATATGCTGGGTTCTAAGCGTTGATATAAACTATTGTCATTTGTGTGATGCTTGGTATGTTTGAAAGATATTTCTTGCCTATGCGCTTAATTTTAAGTTGCTCGAAGACGAGCTAGAGTTTAAGTGAGGGTAGTGATAAATGATGAAAAGCGCATGTTTTGAATGTGTTTATGTATTATTTCTTGTGTGAGTGGCGGGAGTTCAAACCGCTTTTGAAGTGAAAATATGCTCATTACGTGTTTTTTATGTGGAAGAACAAACTTATGTGGAAAAAGGATCAAATAGAAAAAAATTGGTGATAAAGAGCTAAAGAGAAAAAACCCGGACAACAAAGCGAGGTTCACTTCGCCAAATTGGGACCGGAGCAGAAGAAACCAGAAAATTCCCATACAGCAAAGCGAGGTTCACTTCGCTAGACTAGGACCGGAGCAGAAAAAATTAGATTTTCCAATCCGTAATAGGAGAAGGAAAATCCGTCCCATACAAACCCTAGTCGCTATAAATACATCCTAAAACATGATTTTGGGAAAAGACACTACTTTGGAAGAGAAAAGACATTAGGGAGGCAAAAACTATGCTAGGAGCAAGAAGAAGAAGGATTCAACTTTACGTTTTTCCCCCGTTCTTCCTTTATTTCCATTATTTGTTATGAATTCTAATATTATAGTTTTGCATACTATTATGAATAGCTAATTTGTTATCTATGGTTTTGATGGAACCTTTTGGAGGATGAATTCTTGTTATGTTTTTATATAATTGAGCCATTGGATTTTTCTACTCGTTCAACTACGTGTTTTTTTGTTGTTGATTGAATGACCATCAATTGACTGTGCCTATTTAGTGTGTATTGCTTGAGAGAGAATACGCGTTTAGGTAGTTGTTTAACAACATCACTCCTAAAATATGTGAGATATCAATACAAAGGGTTTAAAGGTGGGATTAGAGATAACAAAACCTTAGTGTGATCGTAATGAGTGGTGAATTAGTGCCAGCTAGTGTAGTTCTAGAGAATACATCTAGTAAATTGTGGTAGTTGCCCAAGAGAGAATTATGATAGCCAAAGTACTCACGATCGGTAGAGAATAATTAAGCGAAATTATAGAAGTCATAGTGGGAAATATTCCGATAATTGGGGAAATCATAACTTTAGGCTTCCTTAATGAGTCTCCAACCCTTAGTAATTAGTTGTTAGTTCACTTCTTTAATTTGTTAGTTAATTAGTTAGGCAAAAGAATCTTTATATTTATAACTTAGGGATTGTTCGAACTTGTCTTCTTAGTGATAATGAACACTTGTAGATAAACCTTAATTTTATGTGGGATTCGACTCTAAACTCCTAGACCAGATTATATTTACAACGACCGCTTATCCTTTCTAGGACTAAAGTTGGGCGTGATCAGTAGTACATAATAAGTCATTAAGCTATCAAAAATATCTAAATTACTTTCATTTTTGGCTAAACACATGCTTCATAGATGGACCTCCAACTTTAAACAATAGACATTTGCAATCATCCATCAAAGGTTAATAATAACAACATTGTTAATTAAAAAGCTTGCTTATTCCTTGCACTCTATTTCGATGACTAGTTGAAGATGACTTTTTTATACAGCAAATTTTAAGCTCCGACACAGCTTTGTCGGAAAAATTACTAAATATATATTTGTGAATAATATAAAATGCAAATATTTGAGCCAAATGCAAAGGAATGACATGGCTTAACCTCAAAAATGGCTTTGCCTTGTTGGTTCGACGCTTCAAATTTATTAGAGAGAACGTGGGATCTAGTCCTATAGGATACATTTATTTTTATAAATTCGGTCTTTTTTCTTGAAAAATATTGAAGCCAACAAGGGTTGAACCTTTATCCGAAATGGTAAAATTAAACCCATTGAACTGGTACATAATTATTGACAATAAGTAATTTAAATCATTATAGAACGGGATTATTTGAATAATCTTTAAATCTTAAATATGAAAAAAGCAGCCGAGCATATCTTAAATATGGGATTATTCATTTGTTAATTTCTTCTACATATCGACACCACTTACGAAAAATCCTGCACACTCCCCTGCAATGAATTACGTTTGTATCACGGGGAATACTCACACTGAAGCTTCAGATATAGTTGCCATATTGCCAGCTCTAAATATTCATCCTATTCTACAACAAAACCCAGCGTACATTGAATTTATAAAAATAAAAAAAGTATAGTCAACTAAATGAAAGGATTGAGAATTTATATCGTTGACTCCAACTTATTTGGAACTCGTACATAAAAGTTGTTGTTGTGTTTTTTTAAGGAGTATTGTAGTTTGAGTTTTTATATAATAGTTAATTCATTTGTCCACAATTTTTTTTTTCTTTTCTCCAAAACTCATCTTCAAAACATTGTTTTATTATTCATTAGACTTAATGTTTAAGTATGAGTTTCAAGCTTGAATTTTTTTTTTTCAAGTACTCAATATTTTCTCTTTAAAAACTGTACTATTTTTTTCAAGTGAAATATATATATCCAAAAATAATTTTAATTTCAAATATATTTTCTCAGCTTGACTTAACAAACGTATTTTTTTCAAAATCTGACACGTTTTATGTTCACATGCCTGCTTAAAGGCAATAGTTGTTAAAGTATATGAGGATTCTGTACGGTGGAGTTCAAAATCTATGTTCTTTTCACAATTTGACCAATTATTTCTAACTTTAACTTGATACAGAAAATTTGAAGTTAGAAAAATTAAACTGTACAAATTTATAATTGTCCGGTAATTAATCCTAAGTTAAATACACATAATCAAATTCACTTATTACATACACTTTTTTCCTTTTCCTCTACTTTAGCAATCAAAAAAATTGAAATTTATTAATTCAACTAATTTAAATTCCTGCTGAAATTCATTAAAATTGCTTCTTACAAAATGTTTTCTACTTTACAAAATTTGCTGCTTACAAAAGTTCTGTTTCAACCTCAAGCTATCACTCAAGCCTTTCTGACCGCTGCAGAAGCCATAAGCGGTGGCGTCACAGGTGATTTTCGACCCTCGTTCTAGGTTTAAAGTATTACCCTTCACACCTTCTCTCATAAATCCAATTTACACAACGTAATTGCCACCTTTCTTGGTCTTAATCGTCACCTCAGCTGCATATCTCTATGGTCAGTTCAGAATGATGACTAGAAAGCAAATAACAAATCTCTGCATTTATTTTCAAGAACCCTTTAATACCCAAAATCGAATTTTTATCAAACACTTTTCAGCAGCAGCTACACTTTACTCATCACATACACAAAAATTGGATACCCAATTAAGGTCCCTTTGTGAAAACCCTAAAAAAAACCAATTAATTAATGCATTTTCACTTTTTAACCAAAATCTTGATTTGGGTCAAATCCCATCAGAGTCAACTTGTAATTTTCTTGTTGTAACTTTTGCAAAGAATAAGGATTACAATCTTGCTTTAAGGGTGTACCATAAAATGAGAAAAGTTCAAGTCTTGCCTTGGTTTTTATCATTAGCTGCTTTGATTGAATGTTTTGTGTATGTTCAAAACCCAAGATTGGCAATTGGTGTATTGGCGTTGATTTTCAAGAATGGTTATAAGGTTAATGTGTATATTGTAAATGTTATATTGAAGGGTTTATGTGAAAATGGTATGGTTGTTAAGGCTATTGAGTTTGCTTGTAGTTTGGATAAGAAAGAGGTAACACCCGATGTGGTTAGTTTAAACACCCTCATGAGAGGACTTTGCAAAGAGAAGAAAATAGAGGAGGCTCTGGATTTGAGGTTTAGTATGGAAAATGTGGTGAGTTGTGGTCCGAACTCGTATACGTATAGCATTTTGATGGAGGGTCTTTGTTCCGAGGGTAGGTTGGACGATGCGATGGAGTTGTTGGAAGAGATGAGAACGAAGGGTCTGGAAGCTGATGTTGTCGTGTATACTACACTTATAAATGGGCTTTGCAACAAAGGGTATGTTAGTAGAGGGAAAGAACTTTTGAATAAGATGTTGGAGAAAGGAATTTCTCCGATTGTAGTCACTTATTCGTGCTTAATTAATGGATTTTGTAAGCAGGGCAAATTGAAAGAAAGTACAATGTTGTATGATGATATGTTGAACAGGGGAATCCAGCCCGACAGTTTTATGTTTGCGGGTATGATTGGTGCCCTCTGCACTAACGGGAGGGCTAAAAAAGCAATGGAATTGTTCAATTTGATTCTTGATAGGGGTGAAGAGCCCGGAAATATAACTTACAATATTCTTCTTAGTGCACTATGCAAGGAAGGGTCATTGGCCGATGCTTTTCACATTTTAAAGGTGATGATAGCAAAAGGCAAGACACCCGACTTGGTCACTTACAATACACTACTAAAAGGACTTTCTGAAAGTGGGAAAGTGGATGATGCAGTGACACTTTTCGAATCGATGTTGGGTGACGAGACTTATGTTCAACCGAATGTTATTACAATGAACGTATTGATACGCGGACTTTGCCGAGACGGCCAGCTTGATAAGGCTGCAAAAATTCATAACAAGATGGTTGAGAACAAGAGCCTAGCTGATATCGGAACCTTTACTGTACTTATTGGAGCTTACTTAGAGGCAAACAATGTTGTCAGAGCTTTGGAACTCTGGAAGCAGCTAAATCAATTGAATTTTATTCCCGATTCAATAACCTATAACACTATAATTGATGGATTTTGCAAGCTAAATGTGCTCAATATAGCAAAAGGTTTGTTTCTTAGATTTAGAAAGAATGGATATCATCCGACTGCTTTTGACTACAACTCATTGATGGATGCCTTGTGCAAAGAGGGTAGCTTGGAGCAAGCGACGGGGTTGTTTAAAGAAATGTTAGATGCAAATTGTGAACCTGATATAGTCTCGTACAATATTATCATTCGTTCGACTCTCGAAGCAGGAAATTTGCAATCAGCCAAGGAGTTGCTTATTGGTATGAATAGGAGGGGTTTGAATCCCGATGTATTCACTTTCTCCATATTAATAAATAGGTTTTCGAAGCTAGGACAATTGGAGGAGGCGAAAAAGTTATTTGAGATAATGGATGCTTCTGGCTTGGCAGACATTACTGTGTATGATTGTTTACTCAAGGGTTTTAGTTTGAATGGTCAAACAGGAGAAATTGTTGATTTGCTTCACAAAATGGCTGCTAAGGGTATTGAGCTAGACTCGAGAATTACTTCAACTATCTTGGAATGTCTTTGTAATTTTTCTGAAGATATTAATGTGGAGGAACTGTTGCCAAAATTTTCACAGAAAACCTCAGAAGGATTTAGCATTCCCTGTAGTGAATTGTTGATGAAGCTTCACAAGAGTATCCCCAAGCTTCAGTTAGATTCTGCTCAGTAATATAATCTCACATGCTTCTGGCAGCTCAATAATATAATCTCACAACACTCTTTCTTTCCCTCCATCATCGAATTTCAATGTTTCGCCTTCTTCCCCTTTACATTAACGTTCCCTTCACAGCAAGAGTCCTCGAACCATAACCTTAATTCTCTCATTCTTGTTGAATTACCAGGTATGTTTCTCACCTAAGTTGGCTGAGTTTCTTGTGGTAAATCTTGTATAAATTCTATGAGTTTTGAAGGGTTTCAATTTAGACTATCTAAGAGTTTTTACACTTGAATGATTGAGATTGTTACTTCTTTGTTGAGATATTGTTGCACTACATGAGCTGAGTTATGAAATCGACATACTTGGGGCATGAATTTGGGTGTGTGTGTTTCGAACTTCTTGCTGGTGTAGTGCTTTTGTTGTGAATGAATCTTGAGTGAATCATTGTGCTAATGTAATGGCCGAAAATTGCTCTGTTGTCTTTGAATATTCATTCTTGACCGGGTCGAGCTCTTTTGTGCTTGTCTAAGCCGATTCTGAAACAAATGAATGGAAACAAGTCAAATCCTATGCCTTTATATTGGATAAACCTGGACTCAATCAATTGTGCATTTCACAAAACTGTTCTGCTTTTCACAGAATTTATTCCCATAATCAGTCCTTCTGGAATCTGGATTCTGCTACTTCCCCGGGAGTTCTGCCAAAAGCAGACTCAGTTACTTTTCATGTGCTTAAGTTTTGCCTTTTGCTGATGTATTCTGCAATTTTTACTATCCTGATTCCCTACCTGCACTATGCTGTTTCTGCACATCTTTGAGTTTTCTTTCTTTGTTTTAGTTACTCTGCTTCTGCACATGTTTGAGTCTTTTTTTATTTATTTTTTATTTTTTATTTAAGCTTATTTCAATGTCTTTCAAACTGCTAATGTAGTGTTTTTCTTTGTGCTTTAGTTTTTACTTTTGCTTTAGTTAGTACCAATGTTGCGTGGACTCTCCAAAATGTTGCCGTACTCGTGTCGGATTCTCCAAAAATACACTACTTTTGGAGTATCCGACACGCACCCGGCGACATTTTCGGAGAGTCCGAGCAACATAGGTTAGTACATAGTATAGGAGTGTATCTAGTGTCTAAAAACCCCAATTCCCCTCTTGAATCTCATGTTTTTATGGTTAGAATTCAACCAGGTTCAAGTTTAATCATCAGATAGTTTAAAGGAATTGTGACCTCTGTGATTTGGGTCGATTTCAGTCGGGAAAGGAATCACCCACGAGTTCCTCTGTGCCAAAAATGGAAGAAAATCCAATCTGATTTCATTATAGCGGATATTTATGCTCAGGCAATTTCCCTAATTGCAATTGCGAACCACCTATCACAATCGCTGTCCAGGCTTAGCCTAGATCATCGCGTTCGTGGTCTACCCTTCGCGATCACGAAGATCATTTAACCCTTCATTCAACTCCCCGCTAATTCATCATGATCGCGGTCATGGCTCCACGTTTGTGGAGAGTCAATATGGTTGACTACTGTGTTCATGGTGAGTTGGTCGTGATTGCAGAGAGCAAAGCCTCCTCGTCTAGTCGACTCAACTTACCTCTTTGATTGATAGCAATGCACCAGACACCAAAAATTTCAGCAACAACTGAAATGGTTCAAGTAGTCCGATACCACCACAAGCCCCTTGGATCTCAACCCGAACTATACCAACAAGGCCCAAAACAAAATACCAACTCATGTAAAGTTTCAAACATGAACTGGAACACAAATACTCAAAACAAGGGGTTGGGTTGATATAGTCTCCCTCCCCTATTGTCACACTTATGACATGCGCTTTCCTTGATATGCTTTCTGGTATCTGTAGTCTACTGGTGGCAGGGTGATTGGAGCAGGTTTGAACAGTTTAGGATTCATATTTCATAGCTAAAATTCGTTGGGCGAAGGAGGTTTTATGATTGATATGATTGCAGGTTATTTAAGTCAAAGGTGCTTTGAAGATGGCAAGGTTGTTGACAAGGTCAACGGACAATGGAATAGAGGAAGAAAGTCCATTACTTCCTCAACACCTTAGGCATTGTCCTCAGTTTGGGTTGCAACTCAGAATTATATATTTTTTTCCCTAGGTTAGAGAAAATATTGAAATTCCTTATCTCAAACTTACAACAACAACAACCCAGTATAATCCCACTTGGTGGGGTCTGGGGAGGGTAGTGTGTACGCAGACCTTACCCCTACCCTAGGGTAGAGAGACTGATTCCAAATAGACCCCCGACATCCTTCCCTCCAAGAACTTCCCACCTTGCTCTTGGGGAGACTCGAACTCACAACCTCTCGGTTGGAAGTGGGGGTTGCTTACCATCAGAGCAACCCCTCTTGTCTGGGAAATACTCAAACTTAAATACTCAAAATTATGATTTAGAATTAACTGGGAAATAAATTCTGTAACTTTTAAAATCCTGCTAAATAATAACAATTGCTTTAGGCACAAAAAAACAACTAAAAATGTCCTTTTCTAGAAGTTCTGCGAGCTGGCTAATTGAATTGTGCATGTGAATTGCTGTTATGCATTTGCAATTACAACAAGGATTGTGCCATACTTGATATTTTTATTCATTGCTTATCGTAATTTGCATCACTGTTTTACATATCTAGAGAAGTGAGCAAAGACTGGTGAATCAGAAGTTCTTATATTTTTGTATTATGCATTGCCCTCACATTATCACCTGTCTAGCTAAGTCCAGAAATGATGACAATTCAGGTTATATCGTGCCAATCAAGAAGTTGCTAATTAGTCATCCCCTGATAATTGAAGCCCCTGATAATTGAAGCAGTCTGATCATCTTCAATGGGATGAATTTGTACCCAGCAACCAATGTTGAAAGTGGAGGATCATATGGCATCAACAATGAAATTGCACGTCATCGAATGATAATCAATGTAAATCAACTTCAATGGAATGAATTTGCAGCCAGCAAGTCCAATTTTGCGAGGATCACATGGCATCAACGATGAATTTGCATGTCATCGAATGATAATCAAAGTAAATCAACTTCAAGGGGATGGATTTCACAGGTGAGGTTCTTATTGAACAAAATTGAAGTTATTCTTTAGCTTCCTTGAATATCTGCGTGAAAGTGGAGTGGAATTTTGAGCTTACACTAAAGCTCACATTATTCATTACCTCTAGATTTTGAACACCCATCTAGATAACTCTGTCAACAACTGGTTAGATATGTCCTGTATGCCGAAATTGATGATAATTCAGAAAAAAAAAAATTTTGAACTTTGAATGGTTGGCAATTCGGAATATGAGGAAGTTTGAGGCTGAGTTTGAAGCAATAGAGAAACTAGCCAGTTTATGACTTGTTAGGATTATATGGGATGAAAGGAATAGGATTTCTTAAGAAGGCTAAGTAATTCACCCAATTGGAGAAATGCATGGTCAATGAGCAGCTTCCAGATAAACTCATATGGGGAGCAAGTACTAAAGGAATATACACAGTGAAAGCAGGATACCTACATAATATTAGCCAAAATGAAATGGTGGACAATTGGCCTTGGAAGCTCATCTGGAAAACAAAATTACCCCCCAAAGTTATATGTCATAGCTGGACTGCATTGAAGGAAGCGTGCCTCACTCAAGATAATCTTTGCAAAAGGAGTATTCCCATAGTTAATAGATGCTACATGTGCCAGCAGGATTTTGAAACAAACAGACATCTATTTTTGCATTGTCCAGTTGCTACGGATATTTGGAATATGTTCCTTTCAGTTTTAGGATTCAACTGGGTGATGCCAGAGAGTACTAAAGATGCTTATAGTAGCTGGAGTCGATGGAAAGTTGGTAAATCCATCAGCAAGATCTGGAAAATGATTCCTGGATGTATTTTTTGGGTTATTTGGACAGAAAGGAATAGAAGATGTTTTGAGGGTTTAGCAACTCCTAATTACTCCTTGAAAGCTAATTGTATAGTTTTTTTATAAAGCTGGAGTAACCTCTCCCCTATTAGCTCCCCCGAATTATTTTTGGATTTTGTTAGCTCCCTAACACTAGCATAGGACCATCTGTACAGAGCTAACATATCATCTTTTGTATTAGCACCTGGACAGTGCTCTTTTGCATCTTCTTGATACTTTTTATAATATCTCTTACTTCATCAAAAAAAGGAATAGGATTTCTTAAGGGACTGAGCAGAGCTTAAGGAATATAAAGTAACCCCCACCCCCACCCACCCTTTTTTTTTTTTAATTTTTTTATGATAATCGTGGTGTCTGGACCAACTTGCACGTACCTCGACTAATTTCACGAGATACCTGCTGCCTCCCACTAGCAACAGGTTATAGCAGCAGGTAACCAGTAACCAGGTAACTCTATCTACGCTTGGATAAATGGGAAGAAATCACCTAGTGTTTTTGCCTCTACTATATTTGAACTTGAGACCTCATGGCTCTTAACGCACTTTATTGACCACTAGGCCATACTCGGTACTTGTGGTGGTCGGAGGTTGCAGGTATCCAGTGAATCCATCGAGATGCACGCAAACTGATCCAAAAATCACAAAAAAAGGGGAAAAAAAGGGTTGGCTTAGTGATGCGTTGTCTTTCACTTCCAACCTATAATCGCAAGTTCAAAGAATCACAGTGGATGAGCTGGGGATCCCTAGCAGCAGGGGGCAATGGGGATAATAAGTTGTATTTTAGCAGGCTGTGGTCAACTATAGTTTTCTAGTTTTGTTACCTTGTTGTGTTGTCTTGAATCAAAGTAGGCTATAAGTTTAATGAATTGTTTTGTTCATTTGCAATGAAAAACAGACGAGAAATTGTCTCAAATATATATTTCTTCTTCTGGCAGCCAAGAGTGCGGCCGAGCATCAATGAAATAGGAGAAAACTATAGGAGACCAAGATTCAATTTCCAGCGGCGGAGAGGAAAAGAAAATGCTAGGTACTTTCTTCTCATTTGTTTAAGCTTTGATGGACAGAGTTAAGCATGTTTCTATGCTGATGGGAGATACCATATACTCGTCGAGATGTGGACAAGCTGGCTCGGACACAAAAAAGTATATTTCTTCTTCCGTGTGTTAATTTATTTGCACATATTACATCTCTAGAGTTGAGGTATAAAACGAAGTACTAACAAACACAATTGGAGTGAATGAATATGATGTTTACACGAAAAATATCTGAGAGGTAACGGATTAAAATGAACTTTTAAACCTACTTTCTAAATTGCAGAAGTATCGATACATATATACTCTGAAAGACCTCCATTCTTTTCAGATCAAAGCTTTAACCAAACTGCGTTTGGCATTAGAAGATCCTATTAACCCTCAAATCTCAACATAGCCATGACTTTTACAATCTATTCTTTGTAAATGTGTGTATGTGTGTGTTTCTTCTTAATATCATATTTAATATACAATGTCTCATGAATGGTTCTTGAAATTTTTACTATGTAATAGTTTGGTCTTCTCTACAACAAGGACAATTAACATAATTGTCTTTCATTCTTTTGAGACATTTTTCATTAATTGATGATGAAAATTTATGCAACAAATGAATCCCTTCTTTTCTTTGGGTTCATTGTTGCTGCTTCAGGATTTCCTTTCTTCATCATTGCTACAAACTCATCGTAATTTATCCGACCATCCTGCAAAACCAAAAAATATTGATTGATGAACTTATTATTTATTACAACAGCAACAACAAACCAAGCGTAATTCCACAAGTGGGTCTGGGAAGGATAGTGTATCGCAACCTTATCCCTACCTTGTGAAGGTAGAGGTTGTTTCCGATAGGCCCTCGGTTCAGGAAAATATAGTCAAACTCAAAGAAAAAAAAGAATGAATGTGTATTGGCATGTGTATATTTAGTTGTTTTGACTTACATGATCAGTGTCAACTTCATCAATGATTTCCCTCAAATCATTTTCGTCATTCATACCAAATTCTCGCAGAGCTTGCTCTAGCTCTTCTCTTGATATATATCTGAAGAAAAATGACAAGCACATATTAACTAAGGTGGAATACTATCCTCAGCAACATTAAAACATAATCTAGGGAAAATAAAAAGAAAGAAGAGGATGTTCAATATAAAATTACTCCCTACTTAGTTTGGATATTATTCAAGTATATTGTTTTCTGATTCTATAAAAAAAGAAGGAATTAAATCCACGAATTTGCCCCTTTACTAGATTGGACGTTATACGACGAAAAAAGGGGCATTTTCACAGATACCTACTTTTGGGTCCGCCATTGAAGTTATACTCGTATTGTGCAAAAATTTGCAGCACTTACGGGATTTGAAGTAGTTTAATTTTTTCAATACAACTAAAGAGAAAGAAGAGGAAGTTAATTTAATTGCTCTCTACTTTAGTTTGGATAGTATTTAAGTATATTGTTTTCCGATTCTATAATAACATAATACCAGAAGGAATTAAATTCACGAATTTGCCCCTTTACTAAATTGGGCGCTTTTCGATGAAAAAATAAAATTTAAGAAGTGTCCAAATAACATGTAGTCAGGAATGAACCGAATTTTGAAATTCAAATGAAAAAGTAAGCGGAAAAAATGTAAAATAGAATAGAAAAGAAAAGGAGGAATAATAGTCACTTATTTTATTTTCCCCAACTTAATTATCAGGTTTTCATTTTTTTTCTCTTTTATTTAGGTTTTTCCTTTTATTTTTCTTTTATTTTTCCAGATAAATATCATATTATGGAACTTACCCGCTGTGATCCTTATCAAAATATTGGAATGCAGTGTAAAGATGTTCTTCTTTATCCATTCTGTTCATGTGCATTGTTGCTGTGATGAATTCTTCATAATCTATGGTCCCATTTCCATCAGCATCAGCCTAAATATTCCCAATATATAAAAAAGATAATTAGCATTAAAAATAAACTTTCAAAAACAACCTACTCGAGGAGGAAATAATTCAATCAATAGTCTTTTTACCTACTATGCCTTTCAGTGGGAGCAAAAAGTAAAATATTATGTCCTTGTACACATTTGATAAAATTACTATTGAAGATAATAGAGGTTGGGTATATGTATCATTTATATTCATTCCTATACAAAGAAAAATTTCCTTTACCTCAAATAAAAATTGAATAAGCCTTGAATTTTCGAAAAATTCCGAATTATGAAGGCTTAATTTGGATCTAAAAGATGGCTTATTTTGTGAAAGAATATTTTTCCGAAAAAAGCGGAATTTGTGCTTGTGAAAATAAGCAATCGAAATTCAGAAGAACAGCGGGGAGGGGGAAGGGGAAGGGGAAGAGGCTATTAAAAACTCGAAAAAGCTTGTATTCGCTAATGGAAAGTAGAAATAGAAGCTGAGCAATTTTGAGTGAATGGATACTTCGAGATAGAATGAGAAAAATTGATTGAAAATTAAGTTTGTAGAATTGCTCGCGGGAGATAGCAAGTACTCCACAGAATCAGTCGAGGTGCATGTAAACTAGACTGGACACCATATTATTTAAAAGAAAAAAAAGAAGTTGCAGAACTTACAGCTTCCATTAACTGTTTAATCTCATAATCTGATAGTTTAGTTCCTTGTTTGGCTAATCCTTGCTTTAATTCCTCAATTGTTATTGATCCACTGTTATCAGCGTCCATACTTTTGAACATTTGCTTCAATCCCATAATTTCTTCCTCTGATAGACACCCTGCAATAACCTGAAAATATCTTCCCCTAAATTAATTTTGTATTCCTTTAAATGTATTAATTACTTAGTTAACATAAAATATACTTTTAAATCCATAAGAAGATTTCTCAAAAGTCAATATTAACAACAAAAATTTGATCGCCACGTGTCGTTATACGCTCTCATACTAACAAGAGTTTAACTTCTATATACTGACAAGATAAAAGAACTTTTACGTTATTAGGTCACCTAAAAGATAATTAAGATAAATGTCCGTAAGAAGTGGACTAGTAACCTGGAATATAAGACAAACAATTTACTGTAACAAGTTAAATTATACTGAACGTGTAAAATTTACCCGAAGAGCAACTTTCTTAAACTTGTTCATAGCTCTGAATTGTTTGAGCCTATGTAAAACAGCATTGTCCAGTGGTGTATCTGGTGCTTCTCCATCCTCCTTGATCCATGAATGATCTTAATACACAACAATTTAATTAGTTAGAGTACATGTGAGCTATATAAACAGGCCTCCAATTAATGCTTATCATAAAGATTTACCTGTAATTACCTTATAAATAACTTAATTGTGTAAATAATCTTCTTTATCGCCCGTGCATAGGACATAAGTTCTTTGATTATGTAATACTCGGAAGATTTTAAATTGTATCAAGGGGAGCATTAGAGAAAAGGTAAAGTTGTCTCTGTGTGACATATATGTCGCGGGGTCGAGCCGTGGTAGCAATCACTAATGCTTGCATTAGAGTAGGCTGTCTACATCACAATTTTTGGGGTACGGCTCTTTCTTGGATCCTACATGAATGCAGGATTGTGCGCGGGGCTGTCCTTTTTTTAGTTTAAATTGTATGAACTGATGTTTCAAACAAATATTTACACGATCAGATCACTTATTGTTGTACAAATAACTTACTGAGGACTTGCATAGCTGTTAATCTCTGCTTGGGATCTATGGTCAACATCTTCCTGACAAGGTCTTTGGCTCCACTGGAAATTGAAGGCCATGGATCACTTGAAAAATCAATATGTCCCCTCAATATTGCATTGAATATTCCATTTTCATTTTCTGAAAAAATAAAAGAGATTTAATTGTTCAATGACTTTAACCTATGCCAAGAGTGACACAATAAGATTTGTTATTTTACATACAATAACTAGAGTTTTATGTATCTTTATTATTAAAACTTGCAGCTCAATAATGTACTGGTCGTTTCGTTTGAAGACAAGCTATACTAGGATTAATTGGTTATCCTAATATTATTTCTTAATTGATTGTTTGGTATGTTGTAGTGATCATGAGATTGTTAATTTACTGTTTTATCCCGGGATAACTTATCTTGGGATTACTATTCCACTCTTTGGCAGGTATAAATTATCTCGGTACTATTTTTAATTCTGGGATAACTTATCCCAAAATTAGTAACAAAAAAATGGATAAGGTGGTACTAAATTTTTATCTTAGGATTATTATCCATCATACCAAACGGCCCCCTAAAGACCTAGTTGCACAGGTTAGAGAAAGGCTCGGATCACATTGGGTCCATTACTTAGTCTCACCTTAATTTTTGCAAGAGGTTATTTTCGCCTGTATTTTATTATTTCAGTGCAAAAGAAATGATGAAAAAGGTAAATGGGGAGGTACTTGGCCACACCCGAACCATGAAAGTTCATCTTGGAAGTTATAAATTAAAGCGATCATATATATCACTTAATCATGATTAACTAATAAATATACGTATAAAAGACACATATCATATATTTATTGGTTTAGCATAAACATGAGATATTTAGATGCGAACAATTTGATCTTTAGGGTGATTTTCCAAGAAAATATTTTTTCGGAAAATAAGTAGTAATCTTATTTATTTTGCGGTGTTTGGTATACAAATTAAGAAAAATGACTTCTCAAGAGTATTCATAAATAATTTAGATATAACAAACATGAAGTCATAAACTTTCAAACCAACAACCCTCCGAACCCACAAATTTCATAAACTTTCGAACCGCTAAACTTTCAAAACCGCGGAATTTTGAACCCGTAAACTTTATAATTTCTAAACCCGTAAACTTCTAAACACATAAACCTCCGAACGTATAATTTTTGGAACTTGTAAAATTTTGAACATTTAAACAGATAAATAAAAAAATCAAAACTGAAAAATATATTTAAAAAATNCTTTTTTCGGAGAGGGGGTCGGGTGGTTGGTGAAGGCGGGTAAAGTTGAGAAGGAGTTTTGAAAAATATTTTCGTTTCTATTGATAAGGAAAACATTTTCCTCCAATTGGAGGAAAATGAGTTCATATTGGAAAATATTTTCCTTGATACCAAACACACCCTAAGTCTTATGTATGTGATTTACCTGCCCAGAAAGGAGGAACACCACAAAGAAGAATATATAACATAACTCCAATACTCCATATATCAACTTCTGGTCCATATCTTCTTTTCAAGACTTCAGGTGCAATGTAATATGCACTACCCACAATGTCTTTAAATACATCTCCTGCAGAAAAAACAAATATATGACAATCACCAAAATTTTTAAAAGTGTATTGTGTTCAATTAGTGCTGGAGCCAGAAATTTTATTAATGAGTATCAAAATATAAAGAAGTTAAACACACGAAGAGGCTAAGAGAAGTCAAAATATAGTGTATATACATTAAAATAATTTTGACCTAGGTACATAATGATAATGTAATTTTCCGGTGAAGGGGTATCCAAGCCAGAAATTTTACTACGGGCCGTGGTGTCAAAATATAAAGAAGTTAAAATACACGAAGAAGCTAAGGGAAGTCAACATATAGTGTATATACATGAAATAATTTTTTGACCTAGGTGCACAACGTAATTTTCCGGTGAAAGGGTATTCAAGCTAGAAATTTTACTACGGGATGTCAAAATATAAAGAAGTTAAACACAAAAAGAAGCTAAGGGAAGTCAATATATAGTGTATATACATGAAATAATTTTTTGATCTAAATACACAATGTAATTTCCCGGCGAAGGGGTGTCCTCTTAGCATAAGGTGACTCCACCACTGTGTTCCATGGTAAAAACTTAATAATTGACCAATCAAATTTAAATCCAAAATCCTACTTTAGACAGAGTTATTAGATACATATATTAGTAGGAGATAACAAGCCTGATGAAATAGTCGAAGTAAATAAAATATCAAAATACGCAAACTGGCCCGTGCACTATCATTATATTGAAAGGTAAAAGTTTAATTATAGATTTAAATACCTTGCTTGTAGAATACTGAAAGACCAAAATCAGTAGCTTTAAGAGGTGCATTCTCATCCTTATTAAGAAGTAGAAAATTCTCAGGCTTAAGATCTCTATGAATAACTCCCATAGAATGACAAGTATGAACAATTTGCACAATTGTTCTCAGCAATGAAGCTGCTGCACGTTCAGTATAATGTCCCTTAGCGATAATTCGATCGAAAAGTTCGCCTCCAGCACACAACTCCATGACCAAATGCACAGAATGTTTGTCTTCATAAGCTCCTTTTAATTCAACAATATTAGGTTGTCCTGTCAAATGATGCATTATTTGTACTTCTCTTCTAACATCTTCAATATCTTCTTTGTTCACTAATTTTCTTTTTGCTATTGTTTTGCATGCAAATTGTTCTCCTGTTTGTTTATGTGTACATAAATGTGTTACACCAAATTGGCCCCTACCAAGTTCTTTTCCTATTGTATATGTTGTTCTAACATCTTCCATTGGTCTGCCTAAAACTGGCCCTATTGGTGATGGTTTTGATGGTTTTGATGATGGGCTAGGGGATGTTGTTGTTGTTGTTGGAGGTGGAGGGGTTGTTTTTGTTGGTGTTGTGGAATCAAGATTATGTGTAGATGATGAATTTTCTTCATTTTTGGGATTGTTGGTTTGTCCATTTTCATTGTTTGTAATTTCATTTGTTTCTTCCCCACTAGAGCAACAATTCCCCATTGTATTAGGGGACAAAGTGTAGAGAAATGGAGATGAAGAGATAGCACAATAATGAGAGAGATTCAGCAACAACAACGACAACAACAATTACACCTCAATCCCAAACAGCTACAAAATTCAGTAATAACGACAACAGCTACTACTTGATTCCAAATAGAGAAAAATCCAACCACGACAACAATAAATGCGCTTCAATGTCAAATGGAAGATTCAAATAAAAAACACAAGAACGAGAGACATTTAGCAACAACGACAACAATAATTACGTCTCAACCTCAAACAGCTGCAAGATTCAACAATAACAACAATAATTACGCCTCAATCTGAAATAGAAAAAAATTTATCTGCAACAACAACAATAATAATTGCGCTTTTATTTCAAATGGAAGGATTGAAGGAGAAGGAAATTAGAATGATGGAATATATATATATATTAGAACCAAATGAGTGAAAAAGGTGGCAAAACGATGGGGATTGAGAGTGGCATGATGATGAAAAACATGAAAGAAAATGAGGATTTGGAGGGGTCAAGAAAAGAAATAATAATTTGTTAAAGAGAGAATATTCATCATAAATTGCATAATTCTTTTTTTTTTCCCCCTCTCCGAGTGCAAGAGGAAGATTAAAGGCGAAGAAAGGGATGATTCCAATGTTTGAAACAGGAGGTCATTTCTTAAAGATTGATTGCGAGAGATTGTAGGAGAAAAAAGCAGGTTTTTTTTTTTTTTTTTTTTTTTTTGTGTGTGTCTCTTTCTTTTCCTTAGTTAAATAAATTTGATAGTAAATTTTCATTGTACAGAAAAAGAAAAGTTGTTTTTTGAATAGGGAAGGCTCAGAGTGCATTTCGAAGCGAGTATACTATTTTTAGTTACTAGTATTAGTACCCGCACGATGTGAGATACTATTGTAATCCCATAAAATTTTATAAATTTTATATACATAAATGAATAACTATTGGCAGAAACTCAAATATTATAACCTCACATCTATGGAGTAATATTATATAGAGTAATAACTAATTTTTTTTTTGTAATATCTTAATTTAAATTATAAAAAATATATTCTATTATTATCCCAACAGAAGTACTGTGATGATCCAAAAGGTCATCACTTATTTTTAAACTAGATTCCGTGCTTCTGAGGCCTTGAAAACTTCATTTATCATCACCTTGATTTGCGCACGCAGTCCGGGTGCGTAGCCGGAAAGCTTAAATATGAAATTCTGTGAAAAATGATAAAATTTGGTAATAAAATGAGTTAATTTGACTTCGGTCAACATTTTGGGTAAATGAACCCGGACCTGTGATTCGATGGTCTCAGAGGGTCCGTAGGAAAATATGGAACTTGGGCGTATGCCCGAAATCGAATTCCGAGGTCCCAAGCCCGAGAAATGAATTTTTAAAGGAAATTATTTTCTGAAATTTTTTAAAGAAATTTGAAATGGAATTTGATTAGAACATGTTAGTATCGGGCCCGTAATTTGATTCCGGCGCCCGGTACAGATCTTATATATAATTTAAGATGTTTTTGTGAAATTTGATGAAAAACGGATATCATTTGACGTGATTCGGACCTAAATTGCTAAAGTTAATGCTTTATGAAGTTTGAGAAAATCCTTTGATTTTAAGGTTTAATTCGTTGTTATTGAGGTTATTTTGGCGATTTGATCGCTCGGATAAGTTCGTATGATGTTTTTGAGTTAGTACGTATATTTGGTTTGGAGCCCCGAGGTCTCGGGTGAGTTTTGGATAAGTGTCGGAGTATTTTAAACTTAGAAAATCTAGATTTTCTGCTGCATCTGGTGTTCAGAGATTTAGCGTTATGCGATAGCATAGTAAGTCCCGCGATCGCATAGTGAAAAACTTCAGGGTCCTGTTTTGTTATATGCGATCGCGTAGGGTTAAGTCTGAGAGGTCCTTCTTTTGCTCTATGTGATCGCACTGCCTACTCCGCGATCGCGATGTGTTAGCCCCCAGCCTTCATTTCCTTCTATGCGATCGCATGGTATAGTCTGCGATCACAATGCATAGCCTCAGTTATTCAATGCGATCGTATTCTTTGGTCCGCGATCGCGTAGGCCAAATTCGCCCAGTTATTTTAAATGTTCAGAAACAGTAGCCATTCGGGATTTTCACAAAAATTTCATAACTCCTTTTTCTCCACACCTCTTGGGGCGATTTTTGAAGAGTTTCTTCACCATAACTTCATAGGTATGTAATCCTAAGCTTGTTTTCTTCCATTTCTATCATCACCCATTAGATTTTTAGGGCTAAAATATGTGATTAAGGGTAGAAAATTAGGGATTTGGGTAGAATTAGAGCTTTTTGACTAATTGTGATTTAGACCTCGTTTTGGGGTTGAATTTGAAAACAAATTATATATTGAGGTCGTGGATAAATGGGTGATCGAGTTTTGGTCCGAACCTCGTGTTTTGACCAAGCGGGCCCGGGGTCGATTTTTGGATTTTTGGGAAGAATGATTGGAAAGCTATAATTAAGCATTGAAATTGGATAGTCTAGCATTTATTGATGTTATTAAGTCGATTATGTATAGATTCGATTGGGTTGGAGCCAAATTTGAAAGGAAAAACGGTGTTTGAGGCTTGAGTTGGTCGTGGAAGTTTGAGGTAAGTGTCCGGTCTAACCTTAGCTTGAGGGATTAGGAGTTGAGTCTTATTTGCTATTTGCTTCTTGTTGAGTACGGCGTATAGGCATAGTGACGAGTATCTATACGTTGGTGTCGAGCATGACCGTGAGTCTTAAATTGATACTTGTTGTATTCTTGAATGTTACTATGGTTGAAATAGTGAGTAAATCCTTGATATTGAGAAAAAACTTAGTTTGTTTATTGTGGAACCTACTTATGATTGAGAAATGGTGGTAATTGAGATTAGTAGGAGTTGAGTTAAGATTGGTTATAACTGATTCTCCCTTGCAGGGACGTATATACTGGTACTGTTGAGTTCCCTTGCCGGGATAATGTAGTCTATTGTTGATCCCTTGCCGGAATGGTTAATTATGATTATTGTTGATTGTATAGTTGGAACGGGTTGCGCGCTGCAATATTATTATATATATATATGGATCGGGTTGCACGCCGCAAAAGATATTATATTTGATCGGGTTGCACGCCGCAATAGATATTATATTGGATCGGGTTGCACACCGCAACAGATATTATATTGGATCGGGTTGCACGCCGCAACAATGTTAAATGATAAGGGATCGGGTTGCGCGCCGCAACAATATTATTATTGTATTGTTGTAGATATTGAGTTGTCCTTTCATATTTTATTAGGTTTCAGTTGGTCTTGATATGTTTCCCCGAAGCATGTACCCCCTCCCATTTTAAACTGCTCATTCCTGTTTATTTTCCGCCATATATATTATATAACTGCACAGGTTTATCTGGAGTCTGGTCCTAGCCTCGTCACTACCTCGCCGGGGTTAGGCCAGACACTTACCAGCACATGGGGTCGATTGTGCTGATACTACGCTCTACACTCATTGCAGATACCGGAGAAGTATTCGGTCAGCAGCAGTAGCTCGGGAACCAACCTGCAATCCACCGAGATTCCGAGGTAGCCCTGCAGGCGTCCGCAGGCCCGACGTCTCTTCTATCAGTTTTTATGTTCTGTTATCATTTGTACTTGAGACAGACTATGTTTTTTCTTTCAAACACTTATATGTAGTAATCATAGATGGTCCGTGAATGTTGTGACGCCAGTTTCTGGGTAGATGCATGTGTTGATTTTCGTATTATTTTGGTTTATTTTGTCTAAGTCTTCCGCTTAATCTCATATTCCGTTGTTATTTAAATGTTTATCATCTGTCAAAATTGCAAGTGTTTAAAAGGATTAAAACAAAAGAGTTAAAATTTCTAATTTCGTGGCTTGCCTAGCTTCTACGAGTAGGCGCCATCACGACTCCTGTGGGTAGGAAATTCGGGTCGTGACAAGTTGGTATCAGAGCTCTAGGTTACATAGGTCTCACAGTTCACGGACAAGCTCAGTAGAGTATGAGGGATCGGTACGGAGACGTCTGTATTTATCCCCCAAAGGCTACAGAGTTAGGAAAAGCTTCATATTTGTTCTTTCTTGTCGTGCGGTTTTGTTTCTCAATGCTAATTGAATTTCTACTATGTTCTTTCTCAGATGGCGAGAACACATGCTTCCTCATCTACCGCTCAGCAGCCCGAGCCCCCAGCAGCAGCTCCCATGAGGGGCAGAGGGTGAGGCCTAGGCCGTGCTAGAGGCCGAGGTAGGGGCAGAGCTCAGCCCCGAGCAGCAACACCAGTGGCGGAGCCTCAGGTTGATTTTGATGAGGAGGTTCCAGCCCCAGCAGTTCCCGTGGGCCCAGCTCAGGTACCAGAGGAGTTTATTGCTACCCCAGTTTTTCAGGATGCTCTGGTCCAATTAGTGGGCCTCATGGAGAGTGTCACCTGGGCAGGCTTGCTTCCTGTAGCACCAGCCGTCTCTCAGGCTGGAGTAGGAGCCCAAACTCCTACTACTCGCACTCCGGAGCAGGTAGCTCCCCAAATTCAGACTCCAGCGGTTCAGCCAGTTGGAGCAATTCAGACAGGTGTGGTAGCTCAGACCGGTGATGGAGCAGTTATGTCTGTCGATGCTTTGTGGAGGCTGGATAGGTTCACCAAGCTCTTCACTTCTACTTTCAGCGGTGCATCTACTGAGGATCCCCAGGATTATCTAGACAGTTTCCACGAGGTTCTCAGGATCATGGGTATTGTTGAGACCAATGGGGTCGATTTTGCTACATTTCGCATGTCTGGATCCGCCAAGACTTGGTGGAGGGATTATTGCTTAGCTAGACCAGCCGGATCACCATCTTTGACTTGGGAGCAGTTCACACAGCTATTTCTGGAGAAATTTTTCCCCATTACTCAGAGAGAGGCCTATCGGAGGCAGTTTGAGTGCCTCCAACAGGGTTCCATGACGGTTACCCAGTATGAGACCAGGTTCATCGACTTAGCTCGCCATACTCTTGTCATACTTCCTACCGAAAGAGAGAGGGTGAGGAGTGTAAGCACGTGATTTTTGCCCTATATGAGAATTACTCCCAAAAAATTCAAAATCAAATGATTTTCCTTGGTGTGCAATTTTGTGAGATTTTGTGATATTTTTGGATAATTATTTGTATTTGTCTGTGTTTGCTTATTTGTTAAATTAATAAAAAATACAAAAATATGTCGCATTTT